CTTGCTAGGTGCATATTTCTAAGACAATCCAAATTAGCACATTTACATGTTATATGGAATAAGTCAATCATGAATTATTTTATGAATTTCTCAAAATTTTCTTGGTAAATAAGCATCAAAAAATATATTTTCCAACATATATATTTAGCAAATGAACCAAACACATGACACCTAGTGGAGAAAATAAATTTCTCTTTCCCCTTACATCTATACTACTATTAAAAGTGGAAATGAAGTCTAGATTCCATAATTTTTCTTTACTAAAATACCCATAATTTGAATACTACTTATATTAAATTCACTCCATTCCCTCTTATTAAGTCCTATATTTAAGGTATTAACTCCCATCCTTTCTCATTTATTTACTATATATTGAATTAACAAGTTTTGTGGACTTTTTCTTAATTAAAACACCCCTACTTTTGATTTTTGTCATTCCCTAACTGTGAAGGCAAAAATAATAATAATAATAATAATAATAATAATAATAATAATAATAATAATAATAAGAACTATTACTTTTCATTTCATTCAATTCCCTCTCATTAAGGAGTTAACTCCCATTCTTTCTCCTCCATCCTTTATTTGAAGTATTTTTGTTTCTAACCAATAATTCTATTAATTAAATCTATACCCAATAATTTTAAAAATACAAAACCTATGTGTTTAAGCACAACATGAAAACTAAACTATACTTTTTGTTCGTGTGGTGGGTACGTCAACAAATGGTCTCATAGTTAAATAATAAATGTTTAAAAATTGATTAAAATATAAAAGTTACAAAAACAACTTAGGCTCGTCTCTAAAATTATATATTTATCATATTAAACAAAAATATGTATAATAAAAAAGAAATATTTTTATTAATGATGAAAATGGAATATAAATTTTAAAACTGGCCCAAAAATGAAACTAGTTTCCTATTCAATGATTTAAACTTTTAGGTCAAATTGGTCAATCTACATTGTCATAATTAAATTAAAAAAAAATTCAAAAAGATAGAGACATCTTTTTTTTTTTAAATACAAAAAATTTGTAAAAACATTTGGGTACATCTCCAATATTATGTATTTCATCATATTAAACAACAATAAGTGTAATAAATAAGAATTATTTTTATTAATGATGGAAATGCAATAAAAAATTAAACTAACTCAACAAGAACTATTTTTCCATCTAATTGGTGGTATGTGACCCCTAGCCCCTAGGGGTGTAAATTGGGTGGGTTCAATCTAATCCTAGACCAACCCAACTTGCAATTTTAGATGAATTGGCTTGGATTTTTGCTTTTCGGGATGGGCTTAGGCCTAAGCTCAAAACTTTGGGTTTTTCTATTTTTAGAGTTGTGCCCAAGCCTAGCTTTAGGTAGTTCAAGCCTAGCCACATATATACATACATACATAGGAATGGCAATGAGGTAGGGCAAGGCTGAGTTTTGTATGCTCCAGCCTTGACCCCAAATTTAAATACCCTGTGCCTCGTACTCCAACGTGACTAAAAATTCCAACATCATCCCCATCCCTATAAGGAACGGGGATCCTCAAATTTTCCCTACCCCACCTTGGTCATTCCTATTTGCAAATCTTTTTTCTTTTATTTTTAAAACCGACCAATCCAAACGCAAGCATAACCTGAGTGCATCAAATTTTAGTGCGGGCTCGACCCTAATTGCATAGATCAAGATTGACCTTAGGCTCAAGCTTTAGGTCCAATGCATAGGGTTGGACCTAAATTAAGCACAAACTTGGCCCATCCTGCCATGACTTGCACCCTAATGGTCCAATCAGTTAAGTAAAATGGGCCAATTAATGATGTCATAATTAAATAAAAAAATAGATACAATTACGAAAAACAAAATATAGAAAATTTACAAAAAAAACTTAACATATCTCAGATAACATAAATTTGTTATACTAAACAAAGATAAATGTGATAAACAAGAATTGTTTTTACAATTAATTATGGGATGAATAAAAATTTTAATAATTCTCGAAATAGATAGAAATAAACAATTATAGAAAATACATAATTTTTGTCAAAAAAATTTGTGCACATCTCTAATATTATATATTTATCATATTAAACAAAAACAAATATGATAAATAAGAAGTATTTTTATTAACAATAGAAATAAAATACAAAATTTAAATCCACCAACACACCATACTTTAATTAGGGTCTGTTTGGTTTGCGAGAATAGGGGTTTGGAATTGAAATCAGATTGGCCCATTCTGATTCCAATTGTTGCTTGGGTGGAATTGGAATCCCATTTCCATTCCTGATGGAATGATATTCCCCCATTTGAGGGAATATCCGTTCCATCCCTTCCCTTGGGAATGAAATCCCATTCCAACTAATTTCAATTCACATACTGATTCTTGTCCAAACTAAACAAACTATGAAAATAGATCATTCCAATTATGATTTTGAGGGTTTTTTATTCCATTCTCACTGTTAGGGGTGTCAACGGTATTCGAAAATCTGATTTCGAATTCGAGATTCGACATAATCGAATCGAATTCGGATAATTCGAATAGTTAATCAGTCGAATTTGGATATCCTATTCATACCGAATAGCTAATCGGGTTCGAATTCGGATATGACCTGATTCGATTCGATAAATATCCAAATTCGATCGATTATTTAATTTTTATATATAATATATAAAATTTTTAAGTGTTTTATATAATTTATATATATAATAATTAAATTATATAAATAACTTATATATTTATATATTTTATATATATAATATTTATTTTATATATTTATTAATTATTTAAAATAATTAATTAGTTGAATTTGAATCTAATCGAATATTCGAATATTTAGTCGAATTCGAATTCGAATATTAATTTGATATCGAATCGAATTCGAATATCAAATTTTTTAATCGGATTCGAATTCGAATATTGTCTGATCCAATTCGAATTTGATCCGTTTACATCCCTACTCACTATGAACCAAATGGATTCTTAATTTTGTATGGATTGTGATAAAGATATTGAAATTATCACGTGCATTGGACGTGCATGTGTACTAGTCCAAATAAATTTTCTCTTTCCCCTTGCCCTTTCTCATTCCATCCTTTTTCCAGCCGAATTTTCTCCGGAACCAAACGGACTACTACTGAAAAAAAAAATATGTTCTTCCTTGATCAGTTAATCGCCTATGATCTTCCTTCTTCCCTCCCCACCTCCTCTCTTTCATCACGTGACTGGATCTGCGTCTATCGGATCGGTTCCATCCATCTCTTCACCCTTTTCCTGCCCTATCAGCCTCGTCCCCTCAAGTTGCATCTGTCTGTAATCGTTTCGGGATCAAAATCGGGGAATCCAGTGGGCTTGTAGAGCTGCCGGAGCCGCCGCCATGGAAGTGGCAGCACGAGATTCGACCCAGCCATCGGCCACTGCAGAGGAAGAGGCCCTCAAGAAGAACACGGATTGTGTTTATTTCCTTGCATCTCCTTTGACCTGTAAAAAGGTACAATTTTGTTTTCAACGCTGCTTTGCTTCTATTTTTGGGGTTTCTGTGGTTGTTTTGATTGAATATTAGGGAGAGTTTAAAATTAGCATGATGGACTTGTTCTTTTTTAATCTTGATCGACAAAAAAAGGTAGTATTTTCTTTGAATTTGTTTTTTCTCATCGAATTCGAAGAATAACGTTTTCAGTTGCGTCTTTCTCACAGTAAAGTTTGGATGGGGTGTTTAAAGATGTTGTTTTGATGGTTAATCTAATAGGAAGAGCATACTAAGAATTGAAGGAATTCGGTTTGGAGCTTCGTCTTGGAAGCTTGGAAGTTTCAGAGAGTGTGCTGGTCTACGGTTTTCTTTTTAATTTTGACATACTATGGTTTCTCTGTTTGTCTGAGTGAGGAAGAACATAGCGTATGATGAAGAAATAACCGGAAGGCTTCTGCCTTTTATGTTCTTTGGTCACGAGAGCATACTTACTAGTTTTCCAAGATGATTGTTGGACGGAATTGAAATGTCATCCATATGACCGTCCTAACAGCTTAGCCAACTAACTTCTGAAGTAATATATGTTGGTTTCTTGCTTAATGTGTTCAGACTGAAGGAGGCACCTTTGTGTTCTTTAAAATGGAGTGGGGAATTTGTCCTTCCTGACTCCTGAGTTATATTTGATATACTGATGTTCCTTGCTCATTCCTTCTAAAGGGTATCTTCTCAGAGACATGATTGGAATGAAATAATAAAATAATTGGTGTGATTTCCTGGTTCAGCTTCCAATTTATAGTTAGAATTGCATTTATTACTTACTAGTGGGTTCTGACATTACAAGGTTGGTTAGGGGTATTAGTTCCCATAGGTAAACTCCACAGAAGTACCTCCCAGGACATAATTTTACATTTTCTTTCCAGAAATACCTGGTTAGAAGCCAATGAAAGGGGGGGGGGGGTAAAAAGAATGGCCTTTTTCTGACCAAAACCCTTTAAAACTCATCCTTTATGAGGATGGGCTGGGTTGGAGTGAATAAGAAGAATGGATTATGGCCCAGCCAGAATTATTCCATTATTGGTGTGGAGTGAGAGGGCATCATCTCCCTTTTTTCTCCACCCTCTTCCCTGCCCACCCCCACCCCCAAAAGAAGAAAAGGAAAAAATGGTAGCTGTTTTTCTTAATCAATTTTATGTGCCATTTTAGTCTTTGTTAGTTTGATATGATATTGTTAATTTCTGTGGAATGAGATCCAAGGGGCTAAATATCATCATCATCATCATCTAGCCATATCCCAACTGTTGCATTGAATATATTAGCAGCATAAATCTGATGTCTAATGTAGTGTAGGTCAGTTGTGTTTTTCATTTCCTTTGCCTTTCTCTTTCAGTGTATCAGACCTTTTTGGCCCTATACTGATCCAATAAATTCCTCTGTATGACTGTATCCTATAAGAAAAGTGGGGCAGAGCGTAGAAGCTTACTTCTGCTATTATATTTAGTATTAGAAGTATGATAAAAAGTAAACAAAGATGTCTTATTTTAAACTTACTAGTAGTGCCCTGTGCAATGCATGGGAAAGCCAAGTTGAACCATAATGAAAGTGGCCAGTTTAACATAATATATTCTAACTTCGTAAAAAATTAACTAAGGTGGCATTTGGCAAGTCTTTTGGAGCGGTCTTCTGGGCTTCGACAAACTCAGAAGACCAAAAACTGGTCTTTTTATGTTTGGTAACCAAAAGGTGGTAAGACTGGAAGACGCAAGCGCGGAAAGACCCGAAAAGACTGAATACCCTGAATTTTAGGAAGTTTCAAATGAAGCTTTCTGGTCTTTCTGTGCGATAAATAGCCTCTTAACGTGTTTTTAAGAGCCCGGTAGACCAAGCCACTTGCCAAACGATTTTTTTTCTCTTTAAAGACAAGACCCCAAAAGCTCAATACGTCTTTTGGCCATCTGGGCTGCTGGAAGATCTTTCTAAAAAGATTTGTCAAACAACACCTAAGTAATCTTAGTAAGCTTCTCATTCTAAGGATAAGAATCATGATTATGTCTTATATTGCTCTTTTTATTGTCTATTTTGTATCTTAGCAACTAACAAAACAATTTCTCGTGTATATCTGTGGTATCTTGAGCAAGTAATGTGCCTTTGTTGACGCTTTAGCATTTTATAACATTTTGTAAATTGCCACCTTTTTTCATGGCATCTCAAACACTTCTACCATAAACATATTCATTATTTCTTGGCTAAATTCCTGCAATATTAATGTTTTTATTTAAAAGAAAAGTTTTTGCATACTTGTCTTTTCCTCAGAATTGCAAGTACAAACCCATCCTTAGAGAAGGAACAAGTCCTTCAACACTGCATCCTCGGTGCTTGAAACCTCCTTCAATCTATACACATCTTTTATTAAGCTCTATTGGTAGTTGGAATGTATGAAACTTCTAGCTTAGTATATGTTTGGTTCCGTGGGTGTTTCCTGAGGGGCGTTTTCTCAGATAAATGTTTACCAAAAAATGCTGCTTTAAACCCTTTTTTTTTTGCCATTTCTATTTGGTTGGGCATTTCAAGTAACACCCCATAAAATTGCTTTCTACTTCAGCTTAAAGTGCACCATATCAGCATTTCATTTCAAGACCCAGGCATTGGGGGAAACGAGAATTTGATGTTTCCCCAAATGCCCAATGCACCTAAGCCAAAGCGTTTCAGATTTTGTGTTTTTTTTTGATAAATGGTGAAACCAAACAGTGGTTTCATATGCAATAAACACCAACGCCTATGTGGCACTGATGTGGCAGCATTTTTTTAATAAACACCCTCAGAACCAAACATAGCCTTAGTGTTGATCTATATCCTGACTTTCCAGAGTATTAAGACAATCCTTTTTCACATTAATCAGATGTGGGATATCTCTGACCAACTTTTGAAGAGATTGGAACTGGAAAAAGATGGAGAAATTGTCTTTGTACTATATGTACTTAAATATTATGCAGTTGTACCTTTAGCCAGTGATTATATCAGGAGACCTGGCTATTATTTATTTATTTACTTCTGTAGGATTAATGTTTCTTCTTCATTTCTATCACTCATTATACTATCAATACTGCTTGTTTATTATCCTTCTCATTAGTTGTATCCCTAAGAATCTTGTTCTTATGTTTTTTTCTCCATCAAACAGGGAAGCGAATGTGAATATCGCCATAGTGAACCTGCTAGGATTAACCCCAGAGATTGCTGGTTCTGGATGAATGGCAATTGCCTAAATCCAAAATGTTCATTCCGACATCCGGTGAGTCTTTTTTGTTTACTTTTCATGATGGATGTTGTAATGATTGTTCTTGTCTTTCCATTAGCTTTTTTATTTTGTTTTGAACTGACAACATGGATGGGTCCTTTTTATTTCATAAATCACCACAATCTTGTAATGTGAATGATTTTCAATGCCTAATTTATGTCTATTATTTCTTTTCCAGCCTTTGGATGGCTTGTTAGGAACCTCAGGGGCATCTTATGTGGGATCATATATGCCTGCACATACTGGGGCATCAACAAAAATTCTTCCATTGCATGCTCCCGCTTATAGTTCAGCTAAACAATCTATCCCCTGTATTTTCTTCCAAAAGGGACTTTGCTTAAAAGGTGACAGATGCCCCTTCACACATGGACCACAACCAACTAGTAATCTGCCCTCACAGCCACCATCACCACCACCAAAAGTTGTTCTTACTACTGAGCCTCAGGATTCAAATAAGGCTTCTTTTTGGGGGCTTGAGAAATTCACCAAACAACAGCAGATCCCAAGACAAAATTTTGTAAGCCAAGTTGAAGTACCTTCTTCAGCAAAATCAGTTACAAAGCCTGAGATTGCATTGTCGAAAAATGGAGTGCCAGTTAAGAAGAGTGTACCACCAATAACTGTATCAGATGATGAGTGTCTTAGATATAAACCAGCAAATGGTTCTGGTATCAGTGGAAGTTCCATAAGTAGGCCATCAAATGGCCCTGGCATCATTGGAAATTCTTTAAGTAGGTCTCACCGTAGTCGTCAAGCTCAGGTGGATGAGCAGAGTCTACAGAATGGCAAAGAGGGTGATGATTACTTGGGTGAATCCTCACCTGGCTTTGATGTACTCGTAGATAATGAGCTCAGTGATTATGATTATTACCAAAAGGAAGATGATGTTGGAAGGACAACAAGTCATAATGGAAGGCATTTGACCTCTGTGAATGAATTTGATTACGACAACTGCTCTGTTAATCACAGTTCAATGAATAAATTTGACAGGGAGCCATACAATAATGCACGTGAGTATGACCCATATGGACGGTCTCACGATCATTATGCATGGCAACAGAGTAGAGCTTCATCTGAGAGGGTTACAGAGAGGCTATCTCTACCAGAACAAAGGGGGTTCACAAGAAGTGAGAACCCTGATCAGATTAGTGAGTCAGATTTGCGCCACCAGCTATCGAAGCAAAGAAGGGTTGGTGGATCAAGATCTGCCATTAGTTCAGATCGTCATGGTGATCACCATTGGAGGGTTGATCATGACCACCACATTGAGGATCAAAGAAACCTGAGTCAATCTTGGAGAGAGTCACGTCATTTGCCTCAAGCGGGTTCCATAAGCAATCGGCTGCGAGGTAGAGTTACGTTTCCTGGTAGATCTTCACCAGACAATAACAATACCAATGGCATGCATCCAGAGCGGGAAATGGACAGGGGAAGAAAAAGGGGCAGGTTGTCACCAGGCAGAGCACCAGTATTGTCCTACCAGGGAAGGCACCAAAGCAGATTAAAACGCAAAAGTGAGGACTTAAACATGGAGGAGAGAAATTGCAGGGCTCCTCTTGTCAAAAGAGATGAGGTAGGGAACAGCTTGGATTTTGCTGGTCCAAAAAGCCTTGCAGAACTGAAAGGTGCTAAGGTTACAGAGAGCAAAGAAGACCACCAGCAAGGCAAAGATTGTCAAGTATTTTCTGTTGGAGAGCAGAGAAACTCTAAGATTGGAAAATGTGTTGCTCAAGAATACGAGGACTCACTTTCCTTTGAGAGTCCCAAGCCGCTAAGCATGATTTTGAAGAGGAAAAGAGTAGTAGAAACCGCAGCTTCTGGTAATAATGAGGTTTCTGGAATGGGAGATAGTGACATTCAGAGGGAAGGGAGTGAAAACCATGTGGGCAACTCCAGCATCACAACAGTTGCAGAGATACAGACTGTTCTTTCTTCTGATCTCAAAAAAGAAGCCAATGAAAGCACAGTCAGCAATCAGGAAAATCCTATAAATTCAGCTGCCCTAATTGACGATGAAGAAGGTGAGATCTTTCCAGAGGATGAAGAAGTGGCTCATGAAGGGGAGTCATATGCACAAGATGGGTCTGAGGTCGAGATTGATGATACTATGGAAGATCAAGAACTTGAAACCTTTGATAAGAGAGATGGTGAATCTGATTATGAGCAAGCTGATGATGACCAAGATTATAGGACAGAGGAAGTTGAAAATATGGACCCTGAAGAGGAATACTTGGACGATGAAGATGGGGATGACTTTGCAAAGAGGATTAGCATCATGTTCTCTGGAGAGAGAGAGAGATGAAACTGATTGCTCATTCCCAATGGTAAAAGACCATGTTAGCATTATTTTTTTATTTAAATATAGAATGGCTCTTTTTAAATGAGCTAATGTAGCTCATTGTTTTCATTTAAATATAAAATGGCTCGTACAACTGAGCTGATAAAGCTTGCATTCTGGGTTATGCTCAAAAGTGGGAACCTTGTTATTGTATTAATGGAGTCTTGTTTCAATGTATTTAAGTTGATCTAATGGAAATTTCTTCGTTCTCGTTTTCACTTTGCAAACTGTGTCCAGTAAGCTTTTAAACTTCAAAACTTCTAAATTCCTCCAAGGCAATTCTTCTCAACGAAATCCTATTAGTCTCTAACTTCATGGCCTCGGTGAGGAAAGGCGCCACTGTGAGAAGTTAAATGGTTGTGGGTTCATGTATTTTATTACGGGCGGTGGAACATTATCATTGATTCTACAGCCCACTGAACAGCTAGCTATTGCACCCAGCTAATCCTCCTCCCCATTGAGAACTGGTGTCATAATGGGGAACACATGCCAACCCAAGTGGGGTTCTAACTAAGGACCTGGGCTCCACATGTTAGCATTTGCAATTTTGTTCTGCTTTATAAAGACTAAAAATGCGTAGAGCTTTTATCTATCCAAATTTAGTAATCTCTTTTTTCTCGACCCTTTCAGATACCAACAAATGGAAGAAAGATTCAATTGTGGGAACACTCTTTCACATGAAAAATCCTTATGAACTTTGCCCCATGCCATTTTTTGATCATCAACAGATCAAAGAATAATCCTCTTCAGGGAAGTACCACGACCCCCCATTTCGAACATGGCGAGCTTTTGCATCGATGGGGAGTTTCGGTGAAGAATGTGGGAAAGCTTAACGAAAGACTAGAGTTTTTGCACCAATGTTTAGTTGGGAATATTGCATTCCAAATAAGAATGATGGAAATATTGTTGGTTTGATCTATCATGAAGGAAAAAAATGAAGATGAAGGATGGTTTTGGTATGTTGCACATGTATGTAGATGGAAAAAGTGAGGATAAGGCTGGAGCTGTAATGGAGAATATGAGTTTGGTAGCAAAGAACGTGAAGAGACAAGTAGAAGTTTCCAAGCTTCAAAGGCAAGGGGAAGAACAAGCTGTTGAAGGGGATGTTGCGTTAGATGAGAGAAGTTTGAGGAGCGATACAAGTGATGGAAGCAAGATCGATTCACTTGAGTTTGAGAGGACCTTTGCAAGAGTGTAGAAAAACAAGCTAGTGTTCAGAATCGACCTGGCTTCAATGGGGAAGAGAGGAAAGGTGAAGCGAGATAGGTATGTGGGTTTCAATTGGAAAAACTTGTGGAGAATGAGGGTATTTTTTGAAGGATAAAAAGAGAAAACTCAGTGTTGTGGTTTGGGAAAGGTTGTGGAGCAAGTAGGACTAGTAGCAAGGTTTTAAAAATCAGACCGTTGGGGAAGGGGGAACCCCCCGAAGACCTCAACGGGCAATCTCATTCTGACAACCCTAGAAGTCCTATCCGACCCAAACACAAACATCCGACTATAAATAGGTATGCAACACTCAAGGTAAGAGACTTTTGGAATTGCATTCTTTGAATACCTCTTTGCACTATCTCTTTGGCTCGGGCCAACACTACCTCAACTTGGTCGTCCCAGCCACATCTCTCTTTATCCTACTAACTTAAGTGTCGAAGTGCCTACCCGAGGAACAACTCCTCAGGCCTCAGTCCCTTCTCTTGGTTGCAAGTCCCGGTGCGTAGCTTCGCTCTTCCACCTCGGCCTCGTCTAGTTGGTGGGAATATATGATCGTGCCCTTAGTTCGAAACACCTCGGATCGGACAACATCATATTGGTGCCATCGGTGGAAAGCATACAAAAAGTCATTTCTCAAACCCCTTTCTGTGCACTAAAAGCAACCATGCCTAAGAACACATCCAACCACTTTGGAACCCATTCCCCATCTCGGGGATCCCGCTCACTTTGCAGCTCCCCGCCTTGGGAGCCCTAGCATCAGGCAGCAGTCGACCTCGTGCAGTTCCATGCTACAGAAGGTCGACCGTATCCTAGCCATGATGGAGACGCTAGGGCAACTGGCACATGCCCCCAAGCTACTCACCCTGCCGCACAGGTGCCACATAGACAAGCATAGGGCCCAATCCGACTGCGAACGATCGCAACCATCCAGAACATCTAACTCCTTAACCCGACCTCACACACATGGCGCTTGCACTAGATCCCATCACTCCACCGCTCAGGTAGCGACAAAAGAACAACTCAGCCAACTTCTATGACAACCGCTAATCTTGCTAATCGAATCCGGCTTGGTTCGAGACTGGAATGCGATCCCGAAAGGGGAAAGGTGCAACTCCTTCGATGGCCTGGCCCTCAGAGCATCACCACAACCAACCTACAAAGGAACCTATCTTCGTCCAGGAGATTGTTGACGAGCTTCCCCTAGTCGGCTAGCAACTCCCTCAATTTGAGAAGTACAATGGAGACTCGGAACCCAATGATCACATTGAGGGGTTCAAGGCGATAATTATGTTGTACAGCTCCTCCGAGGGTCTCATGTTCAAGGCCTTCATTGGCTCCCTCCATAGAGTCACTAGAATCCGGTACACCTCCCTTCTGCCCCAATCCATATACTCCTAGGAGCAGTTGGAGACATAGTTCTTGGCACAATTCACCACCAGCCAAGGGCACTGGAAGATGTTGACCAGCCTCATGCAAGTACGACAGAGGAAAGGAGAGACCTTAAGGGAATACTTGGTGAGGTTCAACGTCAAGGCTCTTCAAGTCCAAACTCTAGACTAGTTAATAGTTGTGACAGCTATCATAAAAGGGTTGTGGTCCTCAATGTTTAGCCTCTCGCTGCAAAAAAACTCTCGGACCAACCAGACTGCGCTCATGAAGCATGTACAAAAGTACATGAACGCTGAGGAAGCCCAGGAACTACAAAGAAGTGAAGAGGACCAACATAATCAAAAGCAAAAGGACCATGATGAGTGTAGATCGGACAGAGTCAGCAAGAGACAGGATCACTGACCTAACCATAGACCAAAGACCCCGCTGCCAACGTATAGAAACTTTACTCCCTTGAACACGCCGCGGGCCGAAATATTGCTGAAGATCCGCGACCATAGCCTTTCCACCACCCAGAAGACCTCGTCCAATGTAGATACCTCAGTGGATTCATCGATAGCAAAGAGCATAAACCCAAAGAAGAGCTGCACTGCACCAACGAACCCCTAGCCCGAGCTCCTTCGATTGGGGACATCGCCATTATCTCGGGTGGGACCACCCTTAGAGGGTAAAACTAGGCATGGAACAACTACTTTAAAGAGATGGAGTGCTAGGACTAAAATGTACTAATGACAATCGGTGCTAAGCACTAACAGTGACCGAGCTATACAAACTCAATAAATAAAGAATTTTCTTCAAGCACAAATGACCAAATGCTTGCATACAGTCTGACTAAACTCCGTGCTGACCAATGAAGGTAGCGTGACAACAACCTCGTCAAAGACCTAGCCAACATATAACACCCAAGGCTCGACAACCATCACACGAAAAACCCAACCGACCAGACGATCGATGCTAGAACAAACCCTCAACGGGGACTGACGTCCCCACCACAATGGCAAGAGGACAAACATCGAACTCCGTGCATCATCCTGACTCGTAATCGGAGTAGAGCTAATCGAAGACCACAACTAGCCCAATCAAAGAGCGTAAGGCTCTACAAGACCAGGTGCCACCAAGCTCCCCGACAATGTTGATAACTCGAAAGCACCTCAGCCAAAGCATCAATTTTCCACTATGAGTCCTCGGCATGCTCCTGGGCATTGGTGATGATAGCATCTTCGCAAGTAGGCTCTTTGATATCGAACAGGCCGAACCCCTGAGTGACACCAGCTACCTCTACGAACTGATGCATCACCCACCGATGATAGAGAGCAAACCCCTCCTGCCAAGAGTTAGTATCGTAGTCGTCCAACTTGTTTTGATGAACCTCCAAATCTCTATGCTCGGCGATGCTCTCCTCCTCCACCCGAGCTATCTTCACATCGGCCTCCTTGAGCCCCTTCTTCAGCACCTTCCACGCTTCTTTGAGATCATGGATGCAACCCTTCATCTTATGGACGGTCCCGTCCCTCTCCTCAATGCCACGCTTCAGCTTGGCTGACTCCGCCTTCAGTTGGGCATTCTCGACCTCTCACGATTCATAAAATCGTCGTAGCCCGTAGAGGTGGTCGACAAGGCCAATGACCGAATAAACCGACTACAAGGCACCGAATAGTTAGTACTAAAGAAAAGAAGAGGGACAAGGAAGAACAAGTAGATCCGAACTTATCGCCATGATCTGATGGAGAGCCGCACTCTCAAGGAAGTTATTGGTGTGGCTATTGGCTTCCTTCCTAATACCGGGGAGAAACACATCCTAGTCAAGTTGCTCAGCCACCCCTCCATCTCAAGGGTGTCATCTGGCCGAACCGACCATTGTGGCACGTACACATTGGCCAAGCCCTCAACCGGAGCATATTCCAAAGCGTCCCCCCTCTGCGACGAAGATCGCCTAAGTTGAGTCGTGGCCTCCTCGGAGTTAACCACCATGACTTCCTATGTCGACCTTGGCCTCTTCACCTACCGAGGTATGCACTCTACCGAACAGCGTTGGAGCTCCACGCCCAAGGTCCTAGCCACCTACACCTTCCTCGTGGTCACGACTTGCATACGTCGTGCTCTCTCCTCAACACCAACCATGTCTGAATCTACACAAACCACCACAAAGTTAAAACCAAGTAAAGACAGGCTCATAAAAAAAAAGGAGACCATGAGGTCGACAGACCAAATCGGGATTGTTCGAACGAAGTGCACATCAGCCCAACCAAGGTCAGCAATCGGGATGATGTGTACTCCCCGATGTGCACCCACATTATCCTACTCACAGCAGCTATCTCCTCCTTCGACAGCTCAACCTGAGATGGACCCTTATCCTTGGTCCACAAAATGGACAAGGTGAGGGAGGATGGCCAACCTCCTCGACACTTCACAAAGAAGAAACCCTCATTCTAGTGCTTAGTGGAAAGAAGGAGCCCTAATGAACACCTTGGTGTTCGACCTAGCCAATAGGTAGTACTACCCCTACTTGTGCTTCTTCAGATGGAGGAAATACCTAAACATCGACAAGGTAATCTCGAAAGCCTTGAGAATGCAGTAGTAGAGTAGCCCGACTAGATAGCAAAATGAGTTTGGCATCAACTGAACAGGA